CATTCGAAAAGTATTGGAAGTCTTATGAGATTCCAATCAAAAGTCAAATATAAAAACTAACGAAAATGTATAAATTTAAGTTGGAAATAAGTAAAAATAAAGTTATTGAAAGTTGTAAATTATCTCGTTAGAAACGTTTAGACGAAAACCTCATCGAAATCCGAATTATAACGAATAAGTTATGACTTATTGAAATTTCGCGACAGAACCGGCACGACGTCATATGACGTAAAAAGTGAGTTTACGATAAACTACTTTTTAGCTTTAGTGATCTAAATAAAAGGGTGTAGTATGCGTTAAACTGAGAATTTTCATAAAAAGAATTTCCAAATCTGACTTCGTATGAGGAACTTATGATTTTTCTAAGAATCGGCATAGCAGTACACAACCCGAAACTCAAAATAAAGATCGAGTGATTTTTAGCCGACACAAACTAAACGAGAATCGAAGATCTCGTCAATAGTAGTACAACGGTAAAAAGACAGACGAAAACGGACGTCGGATAAAGGAGTTATGAATTTTTCACGGACTTTTCCTGTCCCGGCCCGTTAAAAATATAACATTAAAAATAAAGTCAAAATTAGCCGACGGAGTCTAAACGAAAATTGTAGAGCATGCTCATCCCTACGCGTGAATATAAAGAACGACAAAAATGGAGTTCGTATGCGAAAGTTACGAATTTTTGAAGTTTGATAAATCAAAGTACGCCCAGCGTACTCGTGTAAGAGACTAGGAGTCCGTCATCCTCCCTACGTCTCCATGCATTGAGTGCCACGTAATCGTAGCCTTGACACGTCCGAACTGATCCCTTCGTACGCCCAGCATACGAAGGCGTAAACCCAGCGAAGAGCCTTGCGAGGCAGTAGGCCCCGCGTACTCTAAAATTACGCCCAGCGTAATCAGGTGCTTCGGACACTATGAATAGGGTGCGAGGATGCCCGAATTTTGGTTACAAATTTGATTATATCTCACCCTCTACACTCTCCCAAATTACCCTAACACCCCTGAAGCCTAGGAAACATCCCCGACACCCGAAGCAAGTCCCGACGCTCCAAAAGCCCGAGAAAATAATCTATTCAAGGTTAAACTCTGCCCGCGCAAGGCCGGATTTTCAACAAAAATCCCCGGTTTCGTCAAAGAAAGTCATCTGTAGAGACGAAGTGCTGCCCAAATTATCATTTTATCATTCAATTATTTCACGGTGAGTTCAATATAGGGACAATTATATGTTATGTGTTATATGCTCAATGTGCTCTCCTGTATTATTCTAGTATCAGATTTATGCCTTTGGCCATGTAGAGCATGACTCGTATAACTTCTGGTATTAGCATAGGGCTAAGTAGGGTTGAAAGCCTGTATATTCTAGCAAAATGATAATCCGAAATTGTATTTTCTGTATCATTTGGGTTGAAGCTTTATTGATGTATATCAAGTTGAAATTGTTATGTCTCATTGATTGTAAATCATTGAATCAGATTGTTGGTTGATATGGAAATCCTGTCATATGATACACATATGCCTTTGTTGTCTTTGTCCCTCTTGCTTTTGTCATATTGAATATATATATATATATATATAATATATATATATATATATATATATATATATGTCATAATGTTATATTGTAACTGTTATTGAACTCATTAAGCGTCACCCGCTTATCCCTCTCAATGTTTAAACTATTGCATGTGATAAGCATCCAGTATGGTCATGTACTGGTAGAAGATGTAGAATAGATAATATTATGTTTTTTTGTAATTAGTGTATAAATTTCCTGGGAAGTTATGTAATAGATATATAATATAATTATATCTCTATATATATAGATATAGATAGATATATATATATATAAAACCCTGTAAAACTCGTTAGTCGGTTTGTATCCAGTCTTTTGTAATAAAACTATATATGTAAAATATTTTTATGAATATGAGTAATAATAAAGTTTAGAGAAAGGGGTTCTTTTAGAATGTGATAGATATTGAACCTTTGTATGCAAATTTGACCAGAATAAAACTATAAAATCAGATACACCCACTCAATTTACTTTTTAATGTCAAATAATCAACTATTTTGTGTACACACTCAAACATTCATCCATTCGATTTCCTAAACAACTATGAAACGAAAACGATTGAGTGGGAAGAGTCAAATTAAATGATTTATCACACCTTTTATTCTATAATGAGTTTCTTATATGAAGCTAAGGCTTGTTCGTTCTATGAGAATAAATATTACATAAAATATATGTTAATAGTAATTCTGATAGAATACATGTTATATTATAGAATACATTCTCGCAGAATATGGCATAACACATAGAATATGACATAAAAATAGAGTACATTTTGACATAATACATAAAATATGACAGAATCCATGTCCAAGATTACTAGAAACTATGTTTTAAATATGGAATTAGTTAATTACCGAGAATTTGGCTTGAAACGTCTCTTATGCATTCTATCAAACACCTTTTGTGCATTATCCAATTGTCCTAGCTTTAATCTGCAAGAATGATACCGTAAATATTCTCCCAGAATGGTTCTGAATATTCTTAAAAAGTATGAAATTAATTCAAAGAAATCAAATTAAATCATCATGTTTATGGAATAACTAATCATAAACAAAGTCAAAATAGAGAAAATAAAGACCTCATTAGACTAACACCAGATCATATTACCAAAACTACATTGACTGATTTTCAAATGCGTATAAATACTTGAATGGACGAAATATTTTATGGAAGCATTTTAACAAACAGTTGATGGGCAAGATCAGATGTCTTCTGAATCTGAAACTTTGTGTGCAAAAAATAAAAATTTATTTGCTGAAATCAATATTAACAAATATGATTTCGTAATAACTTTCTAAGGAAAAAATTATGGAAAGAAAATACTCAAATACATACCTTCAACGATGATGAAACCTTAAGCTTCAAGCCTTGGAAATCGATTTAACGGACTGGGTTTTTAAGAAACCAATTGCTTTGCTTATTTCACTTTGATTTTGAATGTTTAAGCTGTGATTTAAACGAAAAAGTTGATTTTGTTGTTGCGATTTGGATCGAGTACGCACCGAATGGTTAAATGGTGATTGCGATAATGGTGGTTATGGACGTCGAAGCCAAAATGATGTGGGGCTTCTAGACGATTCTAAAGAAGAGAGGGGATCGATGGTGGTGTTTATAGATTTGTGAAACGGGTAACCTAAATTAATGGATATTATTGATTTTGTTTTATTTTACCATAATTATTTATAGTGTAGATTACTCTTATACCCTTCTATTATTTATTATGATTTAATTATTTCCTCAATTCTCATTGGTTCTTACAAGCACACAATAGTTGCTAGAAACATTTGAACTTAGCTCTCTCTATCTCTCCCCCCCCCCACCCCCTCTCTCTCTATCTCTATATTATATAAGAGATATGATATACTATATATATATATATATATATATCTCCCTTTCTAATAAATAAATATCTTGAATATCCTACTGCCATGTGTCATAGTGTTTAAGTGCCATGTGTCTGTCTCTTAATCTTCCAAACATTGGTTTCCCGTTCACATCCAGGTACATCCCAAAAAATCAGGAAACAAATACTAGAAATCAGCACTTACGAGTCTTTTGCTACTAATTAGCAGATCAAAACTATTTCATGGAAATCCATTCCAAAATTAAAGGCCAACATATTTATTTATACGATTCCTGCTCTCGCTCGACTACTTCCTTCTTACTGATCGAAGATTGTTGTTGCCTGAAACCCAGGATTTGCATAGAATCACTTGAAGTTCTTGTGGATTTGCATTTATTTCCTTCTCTGAAGCATCGGTTCTGAATGAAGTTCTTCTTAATACACATATGATTCGTGGGAGAATGGTTTGTTTTCTTTAATCTCCCACTTATTACTTCTAATTTGCTTAATCAGTCTGTTTGATTTCATATTAGTCCCTAAATCGCATGAAAATTTCATCAATATATTTGCATGGTGTTGTTCAAGATAATCCTTGACTAAATTGTTTCATGGTTTAATTGAATTAAGATGATCCTTTTTGACATATTCTTTCTGATTCTTAACAGGTTGAAGTGAAAAAGGTTGTACCAAGACACGAATACAACCAAAACAGATTAAATAAAAAAGGTAAAACTAAAACAAATTAAATAAAAAAGGTAAAACTAACGATGTTATTATTAGCAATAGTAATATAAAAATTAAGAAGATTTTTGTAGGGGGTCACCTGCTAACATAACAGAAGATGAATTCAAGGTCTATTTTGAAAATTTTGGTAGAATTACATATGTAGTTGTGATGCATGACAACATAACAGATAGACCAAGGGGTTTTGGTTTTATCACTTTTGATTCTGAAGATTCTGTTGAACAAGTTATGCAAAAAAATTTCCATGAATTATGTGGGAAGCTTGTGGAGGTCAAAAAGGTTGTACCAAAAGATGATAACTGTGGTGTTGGTGGTGGGAGTGGAATCAACAATTACCTCTCTGGTGGGAATGGAATAGGCAATTACTTTGTTTCTGTTTACGGTGGTTATCCTTATGGTTATTATCGAGGGTTTAACTATGCAGCCTCCATCCACACCTTTCAATTCCGCATCTGAGGAGTTTAATCAATTTTGTTTTTAGGGTGTTATGCATTTCTGGTAAGCATAATCTTCTCATGTTTTAGGGTTATATAATCGATTTTTCTGTTATTTGATAATAGAATGGTCAGATTAATTAGATTCCATATTGTTTAATAGTCAGACTGATTAATCACCGAAAATTTTGACTTAATTATCATGATGAAGGTTATTAATTTCAATTATTTTGCTCACTCTTTGTATTTAGTATTTTAACTTGATTGCTAACTTAAGTCAACTGATTTTAATTTTAAATTTTGAATATATACGTTTTTTAGGTATGAGAACTAAAAATCAGTGAGATACCGAATATTTTGATTTGATTATCATTATTAAGGTTATCCTTTCCAAATACACTGGTAAATCATTCTATTTAATTCATTTGGTGTGAGTTGACTATCATTATTTATCCCTAATTTATGTTGTTATGTTAATTGCTTCTTCATTCATCCACAAGATTTATTGTTCCATTTGGACGTGTTTTACCCCAAAATTCCATCCACAAGCTTTAAGTAGTATGTGTTATCTATTTTTTTAGTTTTTTTATGTATTGTTTTTACTGATATTACATAGTGTTTTTGGTGACAATGGGTCTATAAAGATAAAATCCTCTTACATCAAGCCACAATTTAAGCAATTTTCCTTTGTCTTAATTTTCACTAACCAATTTTTTTTTCAGGTTTAAGTAAATCACAAAAATTGGTCCGTGTTTGTATATGTAAAGGTTTAGTTATGTGGTTAATTATCGGTATGGTTTTATTTATTGCGGTTTTGGTCATTGGGTCGTTAAATCTTACTACTCAACTTATTATTATTTTTTTAAATTGCTGTTTTACCCTTGAACTAATCCTGAAAAATGAAAACCTAAAACTTATAAAATCTTAATTTAGTATTACATACTACTTTTACGTTTTTACATCTTCAAATAACAATATTTTATATAATTCATTGTTAATATGGATTTCATTTGTAATTTATAATATGTATTCTATTCATATATGTTTCTTTAAGTAACTTAAATATAATTTGCCATATAACAATTGCATTTCAATGATTGTTGTGGTTGTTTTTTTGTCTACTGAATTTTATATTTTATTCTACAACATCATCATATTTTTCATTAATTTACACATAAAGAATGTCTCTCGTATTTTCAAAACATTTTACATATTAATTTGAATAAACCATTATAAAGAATGTCCTTCATATCTTCAAAATATTTTACTTATTAATTAGAATAAACCATTACAGAAAAATCATAAAAATATGTTAACTAATAATTGTTTCAAAATAATTGATCAAGGATTATGAATTTGAACTATCAATATTCGTCTAATTTAATAACCGTGGTTTCCACGGGTTATAACCTAGTATATATATATATATATATATATATATATATATATATATATATATATATATATATATATATAGGGAAAAGTTCAATAGAGAACCATAATTATTGGTTCTTCAAGGAACCAAATTTTTTTTTTCAATTTCTAGAGCTTATTCTTTATCGAAAAAAAATCTAAAATTATCTAAATTCATATATTAACATTGTGAATGTGAAAAATATTTTTCGGATTCACCGTGTGAATCCGGATTCACATTGTGAATTTTCAAAGATTCACATTGTGAATTTGACGTAAAAAAGAAAATCGAATTTGATATCATTGGAAAAAGGATAAAAAGTTATGAATTTTTGTATTTTTAGTTTTTTTTTTATAAAAAATAAGTTCTAAAAAATGAATAAAAGATTGTTTCCTTAGTTCCTTGGTTAATTATGGTTATCTATTGAACCTCACCATATATATATATATATATATATATAATATATATATATATATCTATATATATAATATATATATATATATATATATATCGGCAATTAAAAAATGTTCAAAACATTGCTTTTTAACCGATTTACTTACAGCTAATAATGTTTCCTGAGTTCTAATATGATAATTGTCTATTTTTAAATTAAAAGCGTTTTCGTCTAGATTCAAAAAATTAAATGCTGCGGAAATGAAGCTGACAGTATATAAACAAAACTAATACTTTTGGAACAAGACAATGTCAACAGTTTCTATTTGAATTATTTGAAAAATGTTATATTTTAAAGTAAAATTCAATTCGACTTTATGAATTTGCTTTTACAACTATTGCCAGAATTTTGTTTTTATCGATGACGATGGTTCCTATGATTTCTAAAGAAATCGCTAATTTTTTTTATAGGTTGTTTTGTTTTCAACTTTTATTCTTTAATAAATTTGATGGTTTGTTTATATAAAAAAATTATTTAAGAAAATAATCTTCTTTTAAAAAAATCATTTAAGCTTTTACTTTATTAAATAAACTAGTCACTACAAGAATATCAATCTTAAGTGGTGACACGTCGCCGATATTGGTTCGTTGCTAATATTCACATAGTCGCCGCTAATGTCTCTCGTCGCCACTAATGTTGCGTCATAAAGGTGTTGCCACTAATTATAGTTTTCTCTTTTTTTTTTTTTTTTTTTTTTAAATTGCTCATTTCAAATACAGAAAAAAAAAAACGTTACAAAAATATAAAAACTACTACGAAATATTAAATTGAAGAAAAATAGATCAAAATATTAAAATTTAGTAATATGACATCAATATTAATGCAAACATTATTACATAAATCCTAAAAGTAGCTACACGTCATCATCGCTCCCTTTTTTCCTTTGGTATCGTCATCGTTCCCTCCAGTATCATTTCGTGGTGGCAACGATCGAAACCATTCTTCAAGTGCCGCAATATATGTCAGGTCCTTTAGCATTGTTTAAATCATATCCAACTACAAAAGAAATAACATAATCTTATAAGTTAGACCAACATATCAAACCATAAAACTAACAATTATGAAACTATAAATTACCAACATATAACCAAACTAACAAATACAAAACTATAAATTACCAACATATCAAACTATAACTAAAACTAACAATTACCAAACTACCAAATATCACCATATCAAAATGTAAACAAACTAACAATTGCCAACATGTAAACTGTTACCCGAACTTACAATTACCAACATATGAAACTATTACCAAACTAATAATTACCAACATATAAAACTATTACTAAAGTAACAATTACCAACATATCAAACTATAATCAAACTAACAATTAGCAAAATATAACTAACTAACAATTAAATTGGTAAGGCATGTTAAAAATATGGTGGATAATCTATTGACCAATGTTCAAATTCTGGTACTGCCCAAACCATGTGGACATGGAGGTTCGTCTGCAGTGATTCCATGACATGAGACATAACCTCATATTTGCAGCGGTGGATTAGTTGGTGTGCGAAAGCTGACCCAAAAACCTTGTTAGAGAAGTTCCATTTCCAAAAAATAAATTACCAAACTCCAAATACCAACATATCAAACTATAACTATATATATATATATATATATATTATATATATATATATATATATATATATATATATACACACACACACTTTGGTTATAGTTTGATATGTTGGAGAGAGAGAGAGAGGTATGTTCAAATGTTTCTCACATCTATTGTGTGCTAGAATGCACCAATAAGAATTTAGTAATTAAATTATTATTTAATCAAATAAAGATAGATATTTAATGATTTCCATAATTATATATATATATATATATTAAATGATATCCATACTTATAATTCCTTTTTTATGGAAACTAATTAAATTTGTTATTAATGTCAACAATAATATTCTTTCAGAATGAATTCGTATCTAGAAGAATGAGAGTGTATTCTAGCAGAATAAGCGTGTATTATAGAAGAATACACTCTCATTCTTCATATTCCATGCAATTTTATTGTACTTTAAGTAAGTGAGTCCTGAAACAAAACACGAACCCATACATAAAAACCTTGATGCAAATTCATTATGAAAGAATGTTAGTGCTGACATTAATGACAAATTTAATTAGTTTCCATAAAAAGAAAATTATAATTATAGAAATCATTTAATATACATACAATTATGGTAGTCATTTAATATATATCTTTATTTAATTTTACTAAATTCCTATTGGTGCATTCTAGCAAAAAATAAATGTAAGAAACAAATTAACCTAGCCTTATATATATATATATATATATATATATATATATATATATATATATATATATATATGCGATTTTGAAATTAAATAGTCTTGTTTTACCTGTGATTGTGGTGGTGGCTGTGACAGTGGTGGCGGCTGTGATGGTTGTCCCTGATCGTACATTGACAAAACCGTAGAAGGTTTAAGCCTGATGCCTCTGATATGGCCTCATCGAGCACCCAAATTTTTTTAAAAAGAATTTCTTACTTCCTCTAGTGTTAGACCTCTTTCTTCAGTTAAAGCTTGAGTTTGTTGATTTAACTCTTGGACTAAAGCATTATGTATTTTCAAAAAAAGAAAGGTTAACATCATAATATAAATAAACACTTATATGAAAAAAGTTATAATTAACCACTTACATATTGATGCTCGGCTAAAAGTCTATTAAATGCCCATTGGAGATCGGTATGAGCCTTATAAAAGACTTCGAGTCTAGTGATGTCATATTTAACATTAAAAATTAGATTAATTATTCTTTAAATAAAACATTAAATGTATCATAACTAACTTCTTTTAAACAAGCACTACTATAAGAGCATGACCCCTCTTTATTTGTGTATTGTTGTAGTGCATGGACTCCTTTGTTTTCCATCGAACGCTTTATAAATTCAAGCGTTTGAAAATGTTTAACTGCTTGTGCCTAATTTTCAAGTGACATACCCTTGAGGGGGGGGGGGGGGAGTTGTTGCTCTTGGGATATCTGCAAGCCCTCCGACTCTCTTAAAATGATTACATGCTTTACATATCCGGTCTCTATAACATTTTCATAGAGATGCATCAATACTCTGCATGATTGTGGCATTCCTTAAAGCGGGGGAAACATTGTACCCACCATATACG